CCGCCCCACCCGGCCTGATAAAGCACACTGACTGGGCTACAAGGCCAAGCAAGGTTACGTTACATATAGGATTCGTGTTCGCCATGGTGGCCGAAAACGCCCAGTTCTTAAGGGTGCAACTTACGGCAAGCCTGTCCATCATGGTGTTAACCAGCTGAAGTTTGCTCGAAGCCTTCAGTCTGTTGCAGAGGAGCGAGCTGGACGCCACTGTGGGGCTCTAAGAGTCCTGAATTCTTACTGGGTTGGCGAAGATTCCACATACAAATTTTTTGAGGTTATTCTCATCGATCCATTCCATAAAGCTATCAGAAGAAATCCTGACACCCAATGGATCACCAAACCAGTCCACAAACACAGGGAGATGCGTGGGCTGACATCTGCAGGCCGAAAGAGCGTGGCCTTGGAAAGGGCCATAAGTTCCACCACACTATTGGTGGTTCTCACTGGGCAGCTTGGAGAAGGTGCAATACTCTCCAGCTCCACCGTTACAGCTAATATAAGTAAAGTTTGTAAAATTCATACCTAATAAACAATTTAGGACAGTCATGTCTGCTTACAGGTGTTCTTTGTCTGTTAAAATTAGTCTGCTGATTGTTTCATGAATGCTTTGTCAAATTAAAGTGCAATAATGTTTGAAGACAATACGTGATATGGTGTATGTTGTTTCTAATAAGACAAACATTTTTGTCTTTGCTTTATCTTATTAGGGAGTTATATGTCAGTGTATAAAACATACTGTGTGGTATAATAGGTTTAAAATAAACTCTTTAAAAGAAGAAAAAAAAAAAAGAAATGCGATTTGGCGGTATCCATTACAATGTAAAATGAGCACAGGAGTTGACTGAGCAACTCCTTTATTTCCATTTCTAGAAATAAAATCCAAAACATGTTCACAACTATGCAAAAAGAACTTCAGGCTGTGGCTCACACCTATAATCCCACCACTTTGGGAGGCCAAGGCAGAAGAATTGCTTGAGCCCAGCAGTTTGAGACCAGCCTAGGCAATATAGTGGCACCCCACATCTATTTTAAAAAATTCTCCAGGTGTGGTGGTGCATGCCTGTAGTAGTCCCAGCTACTTGGGAGGCTGAGGCAGGAGAATCACTTGAGCCCAGGAGATTGAGGCTGCAGTGATTGTACCAATGCACTCCAGTCTGGGTGACAGAGCCAGACTCCATCTCAAAAAAAAAAAAAAAAAGAGGCCGGGCGCGGTGGCTCAAGCCTGTAATCCCAGCACTTTGGGAGGCTGAGGCGGTTGGATCACGAGGTCAAGAGATCGAGACCATCCTGGTCAACATGGTGAAACCCCGTCTCTACTAAAAATACAAAAAATTAGCTGGGCATGGTGGCGCGTGCCTGTAATCCCAGGTACTCAGGAGGCTGAGGCAGGAGAATTGCCTGAACTCAGGAGGCGGAGGTTGCGGTGAGCCGAGATCGTGCCATTGCACTCCAGCCTGGGTAACAAGAGCGAAACTCCGTCTCAAAAAAAAAAAAGAAAAGAAAAAAGAGGGTTGGGTGCTGTGGCTCACCCCTGTAATCCCAGCACTTTAGGAAGCTGAGCTGGGTGGATCACCTGACGTCAGGAGTTCAAGACCAGCCTGACCAACATGGAGAAACCATGGAGAAATACAAAAATTAGCTGGACATGGCAGTGCATGCCTGTCATCCTGTCATCTCAGCTATTAGGGAGGCTGAGGCATGAGAATTGCTTGAATCCAGGAGGTTGCAGTGAGTTGAGATCACACGACTGCACTTCAGCCTGGGAAATAGAGCGAGAATCTGTTTCAAAAAAGCTTTTGCCCTTGGAACCCAGCCACCATGTCACCAGGAAGCAAAGGCCACATGGAGAGATCATGCATGTGTATTTTCTGGCTGATAGCCCCAGCTAGGCCTCCAGCTGCCATCAACTGCCAGAAGTATGAGTAAACAACTCTGCTTATGATTCCACTAACCAGCCTTTGAGTCTTCTAGCTGAGGCCCCTACATGTGGAGCTTAGATAAATCATTCCTACTGTGGCCTGTCTGGATTCCTGTCCCAAAGAAACCACGAGAGACTGTATATTTTACACGCATTCACATTTTATTTTATTTTTTCTTTTTTGAGACAAAGTTACACTGTCGCCCAGGCTGGAGTGCAGTGGCACAATCTCGGTTCACTGCAATCTCTGCCTCCCAGGTTGACACGATTCTTCCTGCCTCAGCCTCCTGAGTAGCTGGAATTACAAGTACACACCACCATGCCCGGCTAATTTTTGTATATTTTAGTAGAGACAGGGTTTTGCCATGTTGGTCAGGCTAGTCTGGAACTCCTGATCTCAGGTGATCCGCCTGCCTTGGTCTCCCAAAGTGCTAGGATTACAAGCGTGAGCCACCGCGCCCAGCCCCTATCCTATTTTTATCACTTGAGTATATCACGAATACCTTTCCTTGTCAATTGATGCCTTAGAACAATGTATTTTTTTTTTTTTAATTTTTTGAAGACAGGTTCTGGCACTGTCTCCCAGGCTAGAGTGCAGTGGCCCAATCTCTTGCTCACTGCAGCCTCCACCTCCTGGGTCTGAAGTGATCCTCCCATCTCAGCCTCTAGAGTAGCTGGAGCTACAGGCATATCTAGTTAACTTGTATTTTTTGTAGAGACAGGGTTTCACCATGTTGCCCAGGCTGGTCTTGAACTCCTAGGCTCAAGTGATCCATCTGCCTCAGCCTCCCAAAGTGCTGGAATTACAGGCCTGAGCCACTATGTCCGGCCAAAACATTTTTTTCATTCATAAGTTTATTTACACACATATCTAGTATGCCATATGAGTTCGAGTTTCATCCATTTTCCAGAGACTGCACCTCTTAAAATGCTCTTCATGGCTGGGCATGGTGGTTCACGCCTGTAATTAGCTGGATGTAGTGGCATATGCCTGTAATCCCAGCTACTCAGGAGGCTGACACAAGAGAATCGCTTGAACCTGAGAAGCAGAGGTTGTGGTGAGCCAAGATTGAGCCACTGCACTCCAGCCTGGGTGACACAGCAAGACTCTGTCTCAAAAAAAAAAAAAAAGAAAAGAAAAGCTCTTCATATCTGTTAAATGGAGAACTGAAACATCCTTATTTTTTTATTTTATTTTTTTTTGAGACGGAGTTTCGCTCTTGTTACTCAGGCTGGAGTGCAATGGCGCAATCTCGGCTCACCGCAACCTCTGCCTCCTGGGTTCAGGCAATTCTCCTGCCTCAACCTCCTGAGTGGCTGGGATTACAGGCACGCGCCACCATGCCCAGCTAATGTTTTGTATTTTTAGTAGAGACGGGGTTTCACCATGTTGACCAGGATGGTCTCGATCTCTTGACCTCGTGATCCACCCGCCTCAGCCTCCCAAAGTGCTGGGATTACAGGCTTGAGCCACCGTGCCCGGCCAACATCCTTATTTTTAAAGCAGTTGATGTCTTACTATAAAGAAGTGTGCAGCAAATCCAGATCCAAAGTACAAACACATCATGGCTAGTAACAGCCTCTTGTTTTGCACTGTAAGTGGCACATTCTTCCCAGGGTCCTCCTCATAGTGGCAACTATGTAACACAGAAGTTGTGAACCTCTGGATGCGCTGGCCCAACATAGCGCTGCTGGAAGCTCTGCGAAAGGTGCAGAGACCGAGGACGGAATAAATGGCTGCACCTCACCAAGAGCTTTTTTTCATGACCCGTCAAAACTTTTTTTTTTTTTTTTGTAGGCATGGAATCTCACTATGTTGCCCAGGCTGGCCTCCAACTCCTGGGCTCAAGCGATCCTCTCACCTTGGCTTCCCAAAGTGCTGGGTTTAGCAGCGTGAGCCACCATGCTCCACCAACCAGTATGATTTATTTTGTTGGCAAAGTGAAAGAAAGTTTATTAGAGAAGTAAAGAAACAAAGAAATTGCTACTCCGTAGGCAGAGCAGCCCACCCAGCACGATTTTTAATGGCTTTCTACATTGTATGGCTTGTTATTGCTGTTTTGAGATAAGGTCTCCTTGTGTCATCGAGGCTGGACTGCAGTGGCGCCATCTCAGTGCACTGCAGCCTCGTCCTCCCCAGCTCAAGTGATTCTATCACCTCAGCCTCCTGAGTAGGTGGGACCACAGGCGTGTGTCACTTCACCCAGCTAATTTTTAAATTTTTTGTAGAGAAGAGAGGGGTCTCAGTATATCAAACTCTTGGGCTCAAGCGATCCTCCCATCTTGGCCTCCCAAAGTGCTGGGATTACAGGCATGAGCCACAGCGACTGGCCAGTATAGGTATCTTGAATGTGTATATAAGGGACTCGAGTATAGTTGGAAATGATCTGATTTGTTGCCTGTGGAATTGCACACTCCGGAGCCTTCCTAACAACAGCGGCTTCTAATGGGCATTTCCACTGTGGTGCAGCAACAATCTGAGTGAGGCTCCATCTCTAGCCACACTATTTGACAACCGGCCCCAGAAGGTAACTGGAAGTCATCATGACAATTCCTACACTGTAAAAAGAAACTGCAAGCAAGGCAGTTAAGATACAATCTTGCACGGTGAGCGTTAAGTCGGAGAACTGGGCGGCGAACGAGGCCGAGGCGGGGGAAGCGAAAGCCTGGTGTGGCTGCGGCTCTGGGGCCACCCAGCGACCGCCTCTGGGTGCAGGCCCCAGCTCCCCTCTGACCAGATAGCGGCCGGGAAACAATGGTCCTCTATCCACTCCACCGACGCCAGGATGTCCCCTCCGTGCCCGACCCTGGAGTACAAACAGTGATATGGGAAGCCGGTAAGAAACGCGCTGGTTAACATCACCTCGGAGGGAGACGCTGGTAGACGAATGGTGTGGCTCCCCACGCGGTCGGAGCCTGCAGTATCCTGTCAAACTCTGGGTCAGAGCGCCAAGTTGCAAGGAGGCGGCGCTAAAGGGGCTCTCTAGTCAGGAGCCTGCCGCGACCTGAGAGACCGTGGGTCGACCCCAGTCCGGAAGTGACGCAACGGCGCCAAGCACTTCCGGAGCTGCGGAGACCGCTCCTGTGGAGGAAGCAGCGCGGGCTTGACCGGCGTCGGCCTGCCGTCTCTGCTGCCGCTGTGCCTCAATCCGATCCCTCTGGCCCGGCCTGACCCGGTCTGGCTTGCCCAGGCTCAGCGGCCGGGGAGCCGCAGCTCCCGGTAAGTGCGCGGCGCACGTCGCGGCCTTGTTTACCTTGGCGGGCCAGTAAGTGGGGGGGGGGGGGCCTCTCCGCGCGCCTCCCCGGCCTGGCCCGGACTCCGCCTTCGCAGGCCCGGGCGCTCCTAGCCGCCCGTACACTGTTCGAGCGTTCCCGGCCGTCAGCGGAGTGACGGCCGGGCGCCCAGCGACTCTCTGCCTTTTTTACTCTCACAGCCTTTTCAGCTCGCGGAGAGGTCGGAGGCCACCGCCTCTGACCAACTGGTGCCGGCACATATGGGCCCTTCCTGCCTGGCGCGGCGGGTAAACGCGCGGCCTCGGGGCTCCCCACTCGAGTCGTCTTTGGTAGCTCTCGCAGCGCTGCCCGCGCGGTTTAACGCCCGTCTGTGGAGGGTATCCTCAGCGCGTGGGCTCCGAGTCCGCACGGATATCCCGGAGACCACGACGCCACAGGGGACATGCGGCCCCGGAGCTGGGCAGCCCCCTTGCCCGACGCTGCTTGGGCAGCCGGTTCTCGGATGACTTTGCCTTAGTACTGTTCATTCCCAGGGCCCATAGAACTTTCTGTCATAGCGGACATGTTCTATACCTCTGCTGTTCAGTATGGTAGCTGCTAGCCACACGTGGCCATTAAACATTTGACCTGTAGGCTAGTGCACCTGGGAAACGAAATTTTAAATTTTACTTAATTTTTAAGTGTAATTAAATTTAAACAACCACATGTGGCTAGTGGTCACCGTGTTAGACAAGACAGTTGCAGAGTGTAGTATTTTGGAACGCAATTGCTGATTTCTAGTTTTGTGCCAAGTTTTTCTTCAGAGGTGTAGTTAGTAAATGATCGTAAAGCACTAATGATCATATCTGAAGTGAACGTCATCAGACTCATTAAAACTTCTGTGCTCTGTTCGTGGTCATCACGGGTGAGCAAGCCCAGGGTGGTTGTATGGTCTTCTGAACATGTGACTTTGGCTCTGGAGGAAATTTTTTTTTTTTTTTTTGGTGGGCGGGACAGAGTTGCTGTCACCAGGCTGGAGTGCAGTGGCGGCGATCAGAGCTAAGTGCAGTCTCGCCCTTCTGGGCTCAAACGGTCCTCCTGCCTCAGCCTCCCAAGTATGTGAGACCACAGGCACACACCACCACACCTGGCTAATTTTAAAAATATTTTGTGGGTTCGGGGGTCTTTTTTTCTCACGTGGGTAAACTGGAGACGGAGTTTCGCTCTTGTTAACCCAGGCTGGAATGCAATGGCGCGATATCGGCTCACCGCAGCCTCTGTCTCCTGGGTTCAAGCAATTCTCCTGCTTCAGCCTCCCGAGTAGCTGGGACTACAGGCATGTGCCATCATGCCCAGCTAATTTTTGTATTTTAGTAGAGACGGGGTTTCACCATGTTGACCAGGATGGTCTCCATCTCTTGACCTCGTGATCCACCTGTCTCGGCCTCCCAAAGTGTTGGGCGTGAGCCACCGCGCCCGGCCGATGCAGGATTTTAATAGGTTGCCTAGGCTGGTCTTGAAGTGCTGGGCTCCAGCGGTCCTCCCACTTTGACCTCCTGAAGTGCTGGGATTAGAGGTGTGAGCCACTGTGCCTGACCTTTAAAAATTTTTTTTAGAGACAGGGCCTCACTGTGTCACCCAGGCTGGAGTGCAGTGGGGTGATCATGGCTTACTGCAATCTTGGACTCAAGTAATCCTTCTTTCAACTTCTTGAGCAACTAGGACTACAGGGGTGTGCCACCGTGCCCCACTAATTTTTAAGATTCTGTTTTTGTAGAGACAGCATTTGGCAATGTTGCCCAGGTTGGTCCTGAACTCCAAAAACAATTTCTATTAATGCCATTTCTTCCTGGGATGTAGGGATAATATTTAAGTCTCAAAGGAAATGAAAATGTTACTGTCAGTTATGTTACTAAAGAAATACATACTGCTCCCTTGGAACAAGGTCAGTATTTTTTCAAGTAGAATTTGGATATTTAACTTTGCGATGATTAAAAATTAAATTGTCATTTAAATCTGTGCCTAGAACACTTAGTATGAAATGGAGTTTTCTTTTTTTTTTTTTTTTTTTTGAGGAGCTTGGAGTTTTCCCCACCTAAATATTTGGTTGGTGAGCAGCTGTGGGCAATTTCTTTTCTTTTCCTTTCTTTTCTTTTTTCTTCTTCTTTTCTTTTTTTGAGATGGAATCTCACTCTATTGCCCAGGCTAGAGTGCAGTGATGCAATCTTGATTCACTGCAGCCTCCATCTCCCAGATTCAAGCAGTTCTCCTGCCTCAGCCTCCCAAATAGCTGGGATTAGAGGAGTGCAGCCACTATGCCCAGCTAATTTTTGTGTCTTTTATAGCGGTGAGTTTTCACCATGTTGCCCAGGCTGGTCTTGAACTCTTGTGCTCAGGCCATCTACCCACCTTGGCCTCCCAAACCAAAGTGTTGGGATTAATAACTCGTGTGAGCCACCACACCTGGCCCTGGGACTTTTTTTTTTTTTTTTTTTTTTTGGAGATAGGGTCTCTCTGTCACCTAGACTGGAGTGCAGTGGCTCAATCTTGGCTCACCTCAGCCTCAACCTCCTGGGCCCAGGAGATCCTTTTACCTCAGCCCCCTAAGTTGCTGGGACTACAGGCATGTACCACCATGACATTTATGAGTAAAGTGACATAAATGAACCATGACCCAATGAGTAAAGTGAGATGTGAAATATTAGTATTATTCTGTGTTAGATTACCGCAGTTGAGGTGACTTTATAGTAAAAGTTCAATTTTAAATCAGTTACAATTTGCTTTGTCAATGTGTACATAACATTTAGGATTGAAATTGTGGTAATTACTGTAGAGAATCTGAAGGATAGAAGTATTGGAGTAAAGAAGTGGGCTTTCAGCTGGATGAGGTAGAGGTTACAGTGAGCTGAGATTGCAACACTGCTCTCCAGCCTGGGTGACAGAGGGAGACCCTGTCTAAAAAAAAAAAAAGAAAAAAAGTAGTCTTTCAAACTGAGAGAGAGGAGAGAGAGAATTGAGCATTAATGTCTATTACTAGTACCCCAGGTTAAATTATTTCTACCTGTTTACTTCGAATACTTTTTTTTTTTTTTTTTTTTTTTTGCCTTGAGACATAGTTTTGCTTTTGTTGCCCAGGCTAGAGTACAGTGGCATGATCTCAACTCACCATAACCTCCACCTCCTGGGTTCAAACTATAGTCCTGCCTCAGCCTCCTAAATAGCTGGGATTAGAGGCACGCACCACCACGCCTGGCTAATTTTGTATTTTTAGTAGAGATGGGGATTTCTGTGTTGGTCAGGCTGATCTCAAACTCCTGACCTCAGGTGATCCACCTGCCTCAGCCTCCGAAAGTGTTCTGGGATTACAGGCGTGAGCCACTGTGCCTGGCTACTTTCTTTCTTTCTCTCTCTCTCTCTTTTTTTTTTTTTTTTTTTTGTTGAAGTCTCTTATTACCCAGGCTGGAATGCAGTGACACGATCTCAGCACACTGTAGCCTCTGTCACCCTAGTTCAAGCGATTCTCCTGCCTCAGCCTCCTGTGTAGCTGGGATTACAGGTGCCTGCCACCATGCCCGGCTGATTTTTGTGTTTTTAGTAGAGATGGTGTTTCGCCATGTGGGTCAGGCTGGTCTCGAACTCCTGACAGGTGATCTGCCTGCCTCAGCCTCCCAAAGTGCTAGGATTACAGGTGTGAGCCACCACACCCACTGGAATACTTTCTTTTTTTAGAAGGTCATGTAACTCTTGTTAGTATAATTATGATATGGATTTTTGTTGGCACTTAAAAGAAGTTCGTAATAGTTGCTCTATTCCTTGTTACTTGTTCTTTAAAATACCTTAGCTTTAAACAACAACAAAAAAAACTTGCAAAATCACTATACCAGTTTTAAAAATATACATGTAATTCTCTTTTCATTTTAGATGGAAATCATATTACATAGACTATTTGGGTGACATATGCCTGAGAGATCTCCCAAGAATTACAGGTATTTTTAACTTAAAGATTAACTTTTTCTCCAAAGAAAAAACGCCATAGTTAAGTTTAGTTGTGACTAAGTGGCTCTACCATACAAAAGAGTTTGTTAAAAGTCAGACTGCAAACATCATTTAATAGGTTTTTTTTAGGCCGGGCGCGGTGGCTCAAGCCTGTAATCCCAGCACTTTGGGAGGCCGAGGCGGGTGGATCACGAGGTCAAGAGATCGAGACCATCCTGGTCAACATGGTGAAACCCCGTCTCTACTAAAAAAAAATACAAAAAATTAGCTGGGCATGGTGGTGCGTGCCTGTAATCCCAGCTACTCAGGAGGCTGAGGCAGGAGAATTGCCTGAACCCAGGAGGCGGAGGTTGCGGTGAGCCGAGATCGCGCCATTGCACTCCAGCCTGGGTAACATGAGTGAAACTCTGTCTCAAAAAAAAAAAGGTTGTTTTTTTTTTTTTTAAGAAATGGGAGCATTTATAGTTAACATATCAACTTAAATATACTGATATTTTTATTATATAAAAATGTGACTCTAGGGTGAGCGTAATGGCTCATGCCATGTAATCCCAGCGTTTTTTAAGGCCAAGGCAGGAGGATCGCTCAGGGCCAGGAGTTCGAGACCAGCCTTAACAACCTAGGAATACCCTGTTTCTTTTTTCTTTTTTTTTCCTTGGAGATGGAGTCTTGCTCTGTCACCCCCGCTGGAGTGCAATGGCATGATCTTGGCTCACTGCAACCTCTGCCTTCCGGGTTCAAGCAATTCTCCTGCCTCAGCTTCCTGAGTAGCTGGGACTACAGGCGCCCACCACCACACCCGCTAATTTTTGTATTTTTAGTAGAGATGGGGTTTTACCATATTGGCCAGGCTGATCTGGAAGTCCTGACCTTGTGATCCAACCGCCTCGGCCTCCCAAATTGCTGAGATTACAGGTGTGAGCCACCGTGCCTGGCCAGTAAAACCCTGTTTCTACAAAAAATAAAATTAGCCAGGTGTTGGGGTGACATGTACCTGTAGTCCCAGCTACTCAGGAGGCTAAGGCAGGAAGATCTCTTGAGCCCAGGAGTTGGAGGCTGCAGTGGACCATGATCATGTCATTACATCCCAGACTGGGTGACAGAGTAAAACCCTGTCTCAGGGTAAAAAAAAAAAAAAAAAAAAAGATTCCACAGTCCTTTAGACTGGTTACATATTCAGTACAAATTCTTTTTCCTTTTGGTAGAGATGGGTCTCATTATGTTGCCCAGGCTGGTTTGGAACTCCTGGTTATGAATGATCCTCCAGCCTCAGCCTCCCAAAGTATGGGGATTATGATACAATGTGAGCCACTGTACTTGGGCCTTTTTTTTTTTTTTTTTTTTTTTTGAGACAGAATCTGTTGCCTAGGCTGGAGTGTCCTGGCATTAGTGGCATGATCTCACTACAGCCTTGACCTTCTAGGTCCAAGCAGTCTTTTCACATAGCGAGGACTACAGGCGTGTGACCACTGTGCCCATCTTATTTCGTTTATTTATTTTTTTGAGACAGTGTCTCACTCTCTTGCCCAGGCTGGAGTGCAGTGGCATGATCTTGGCTTACTGCAACCTCTGCCTCCCTGGTTCAAGTGATTCTCCTGCCACAGCCTCCCAAGTATCTGGAATTGCAAACCCAAATTGCAAATTGGGTTTTCTTTTCTTTCTTTCTTTTTTTTTTTTGAGTTGGAATATTGCTCTGTCACCAAGGCTAGAGTGCAGTGGTGCGATCTTGGCTCACTGCAACCTCTGCCTCCCGGGTTCAAGTGGTTCTCCTGTGCCAGTCTCCTGAGTAGCTGGGATTACAGGTGTGCACAACCACACCTGGCTAATTTTTGTATTTTTAGTAGAGATGGGGTTTCACCATGGTCAGGCTGATCTCTAACTCATGACCTCATGATCCGCCCACCTTGGCCTCCCAAAGTGTTGGGATTACAGGCGTGAGCCACCATGCCCAGCCTAATTTTTGTATTTTTAGTAGAGATGGGATTTTGCCATGTTGGCTAGGCTGGTCTTGATCTCCTGGCCTCAGGTGTTCTGCCCACCTCCGTCTCCCAAAATGCTGGGATTATTATTGTTTTTTAATTTTCTGTAGCAACGTGGTCTCACTAGGTTGTTCAGGTGGGTCTTGACCTTTTGGCTTCAAGGAATCCTCTCATCTCAGCTCTCAAAGTTCTGGAATTGTAGTTGTGAGCCAGCACACCTGGCCCTCAGTCTTTGTTTTAGGTTATGGTTGGTTGTTTTTTTCAGACAGAATATCTACTTCAAGTAGGCTTTACATTTACTTTTGTATTTAATCCAGATTTGTTTATATAAGTTGTTTACATACTATTAAATCCAAATGCTCTTGGACTTTAAGGTTCTGTTAGTTTTAGATTTAAATCATTAGTTGATTTTTTTTTTTGTTTTTGTTTTTTTTTTGAGATGGAGTTTTGCTCTTGTTGCCCAGGCTCACTGCCAATTCCTTCTCCTGGATTCAAGGATTCTCCTGCCTCAGCCTCCCAAGTAGCTGAGATTATAGGCACTCACCACCATGCCCGCTAGTTTTTGTATTTTTAGTAGAGATGGGGTTTCACCATGTTGGCCAGGCTGATATGGAACTCTTGACCTTGTGATCCACCCACTTTGGCCTCCCAAAGTGCTGGGATTACAAGCCTGAGCCACCATACCCAGCCAGATTTAAATCATTAGTTGATACTGTTCTTGCAGATCATCCCTTGAAATAGTACTTGTATAGAAAAGTTTGTCGGTGTTTGCCACAGTCTTCTGTAAGTTGAAGTTAGGATTTGTGATTTTCACTTTCTCAACTAGTATTCTCTTTATTCATATGTAGTGGAGTAACATTTTGCTATCATGGACATTTTTTTTTTTTTTTTGAGACTGAGTTTCATTCTTGTGTGTGTGTGTGTGTGTGTGTGTGTGTGTGTGTG